ATGGACTCTGAGGAACAAACTGAGGGTTCTAGAGAGGAGGGGGTGGGCGGATGGGTTAGCCTGGTGATGGGTATTAAAGAGGGCACGTATTGAATGAAGCACTGGGTGTTATACGCAAACAATGAATCATGGAACATTACGTCAAAAACTAATGTAATGTATGGTGATTAACATAACATAATAAAATAAAATTAAAAAATAAAAATATATACATATAGATATATTTAAACTTGATGACGATTCTTTTACTTGATTAATAATTACTGTAGTAATTGAATCCATGTAATCCTTTGAAACACTGGATGGGATTTAAGCTCACCCTTCTATTTCCTTGATTGACATTTTATTAAGTCAAGCTTATGTAACTACTTCAAATGAAGGTATTAATGAATGACGTAACCTTTCTCTCAGAACTCAAAATCTGTGTAACTATTATCTAATGATATCACTTGATTAATCATTTAGACTAATTAAAATATTCCCTCCACCTCAAATCATACCCATTTTTCATTCAGTTCACAATGCTTATACCTAGAATGTAAAAATTACCTGTCTAATGCAAGCTTTTTTATTTCAAAAGCAATTTTCACATCTTCAATTTCATTTTCCAGGTCTTCAATTTTACTATCAAAGAAGCATGAACAAAAAAATTTCAGCAATCAGTATCAAAAAAATTCACTGAATATCAAAAAACATATAAAGTAAACCTTTGAAAAAAGTAAAATGACCCTATCTACATAAAATTATTCTACAGGCTCCCCACACTGATGCATTTATAGATTTGGTAAACAGATGCCTCTGAGATATTCAACTAATTATCTGGTGAAGGGGAATGCCAAAAGTGCTAATGTGATCACTCAGGTACATGTTAAGTCCATTTCCCGTATCAACAACTTCTCAGTACATGCATAAAAAATTACTTGGAAAAATAAAGAAAAGGAAAATGAAGATAATGGTGTAAGATGGGTAATTATATCGAATCTTAGTAAATAACACAAAATTTAAAATATGACATACGCTTCAATTTGCTTATCTTGCATGATTTGTTCTGGAGTTTTTTCTTCATCTACAAATAAATAATTTTTTGAAGTTAGTAACAGTTTAGAAGAGTGTGGTCCAACAAAAATATAAGCCACAAATGCAAACCAAAAATTTAATTTTTTTTAGTTTCCATATTATAAAGCAAGTGAAAATATTTCAGTATAATTTATTTTAACCCAATAGGTCTAAAATATTATCATTTCAACATGTAATTAATCTAAAATTACTAATGAAATATTTTATAATCTTTTCTTCTGTATTTTTCATTTATACTCCCTCTTGAAGACTAACCACATTTCAAGTGTTCAATTGTCACATGGAGCTAGTGGCTACCATACTGGACAGAGCAGTTTGAGAATAATGGAAAATAAAAAAGGAGTAAAATATTAACATGAGCAATGTAAAATGATCACCTGTACGTCTATATGTTAGAAAAAAAACAGTCGGGGGTTCCTGGGTTGCTCAGTGTGTTAAGTCTCTGCCTTTGGCTCAGGTCATGATCTCAGGGTCCTGGGATCAAGTCCTGCGTAGGGCTCCCTGCTCAGTGGGGAGTCTGCTTCTCCCCCTGCATCACCCCCACTCATGCACTTGCATCCTCTCTCTCTCTCAGAAATAAATTTAAAAAAAAAAGAAAAAACAATGGGAAATTAAAAGGTAAAATTACAATATACAGTTTGTTTCAAAAACATGAAATACTTAAGGATAAATTTAACAAGATATGCATATGACCTCTACACTGAATATGTTCAAATACTGAAAAGATATATCATCTATAGGTATTAGAAGAATCAATATGGCTAATACAATTTCCCCCATATTGATCTATAGATCCCAATCAAATCCCAATCAAAATTCTGACTTTTTTTTTTCCTGTAGAAACAGGCTGATTTTAAAATGCATATAAAAACACAAAGGACCTAGAACAGTCAAAACAATTTTTTTTTAAAGATTTATTTATTTCAGAGAGCGAGAATGAGAGAGAGAGAGTACATGAGAGGGGGGAGGGTCAGAGGGAGAAGCAGGCTCCTCGCCGAGCAGGGAACCCGATGCGGGACTCGATCCCGGGACTCCAGGATCATGACCTGAGCCGAAGGCAGTCACCCAACCAACTGAGCCACCCAGGTGCCCCAAAACAATTTTGATAAAGAAGAACAAAACTGGAAGTTACAGGAGTCGATATCAAGATTTACTATAAAGCTACAGGAGTCAAGATAGTGTGGCACTATTGGAAGCATAGATAAATACCTCAAGTGAACAGAGTAAAAAGCCCAGAAATAGACCCACACATATATACAATGGAGAAAGGAAAGTCTTTGGAACACACAGTGCTAGAAAAATTAGATTTCCATAGAGGGAAAAAATGAACCTTGATCTTTACCTCACACCATACACAAAAATTAACTCAAAAAGGATCACAGAACTGAATGTTAAACCTAAAACCGTAAACCCTGTAGAACAAAACAAAGAAAATCTTTGTGACCTTGGAGTGGTCCCAGACTTCTTAGGACTTAAAAGCATACACCACAAAAGAAAAAACCTGATAAAAATCACTTCTTCATATTAATGCCTTTGGTTCCTCAAAGATAGTTAAAAAACAAAGGCAAGATGGGCACCTGGCTGGCTCTGTCAGTACAGCAGGCAACTCTTGTTATCAGGGTGGTGACTCTGAGCCCCATGTTGGATGTAGCGATTACTTAAAAATAAAAAGATCTTCAAAAAAACAAAAAAAACCCAAAAAACAAAGGAAGCAACAAAGTGGGAGAAAATACCTGCTGAATATATAAGTAGATACACAGATACCTACATATCTATAGATATATACTTAACATCTATATATATACCTGTAACCTATATATATAGATAGATACCTGAAAAAATAACTACATTTGTAAACGAAGAACTCAAATTCAGTAAGAATAACAATCCAATTAAAAAAATAGGCAGGGCGCCTGGGTGGCTCAGTTGGTTGAGCGACTGCCTTTGGCTCGGGTCATGATCCTCCCGCATCGGGCTTCCCGCTCGGTGGGGAGTCTGCTTCTCCCTCTGACCCTCTTCCCTCTCGTGCTCTCTCTCTTTCTCTCTCAAATACATAAATAAAATCTTTAAAAAAAAATAGGCAAAGATTTTAACACTTCATAAGAGATTTACAGATCTACTTCATAAACGTAGATATATTAATTGCCAATTACCACATGAAAAGATACTCAATATCCTTAGTTATCAGGGAAATGTACACTAAAACCACATGAGATACCACTACATACTTATTAGAATGGCTAAAATTCTATTAAATTCAGTGTTAAATTCTATTTTTTATTTTTTTGTTACTTTTCTGCTTTTTAATTAAAAAAAAAAAAAGCCTTAACAGTTGATGGGAGGTGAGGATGTTGCAGCCACCAACACAGCCCATTCTTGGAAGAACCTCTGTTACCTACGGTAGGAGAAACCTGGAGCTGCAATTACAAGGGGACACAAGACGAAAGGGGATTTTTTCCTTCGGAGGGAAGGAAACTTGCTTCGTTCACCGCCGAACGTCGGGGCCTAGCACAATGCTGGCCACTTCACTGGCGTTCGAGAAAACCTGGAGCTGGCCGGTGCCGTACTCGCAAGACGCTGTGGAACACGGACGGGCGCGGGAGCCTTTCCTTTCAGATCAGGCAGCGACAACCCAGGTCGGCCGGTCCCCAACAGCCCAGTGCCCTCGCCCTAAGCTCACCCACCTTGGGCCACGAGGAAACCACGAGCCGGGAGCGCGGACCAGAGATGACGGGGAGGTTTGGGGGAGCAAAGCTACGCCCGCTGACAGGCTTTAAACTCCAGTCAACAGTATCAAATTTTAAAGATGATGCTGAGTATGTGGAAATCTCATGCTTCTAGGAAGAATGTACCAGAATGGTATAATCATTTTTCTCATTTTTTTGTAAAGATTATTCATTTATTTGAGACAGAGAGAGAGAGAGAGAAAATGCACACAAGCCAGGGAGGGAGGAGCAGAAGGAAAGGGAGAAGCAGACTCTCTGCTGAGCAGGGAGCCTGATGTGGGGCTCAATCCCAGGATTTTGAGATCATGACCTGAACCGAGGCAGATGCCTAACCAACTAAGCCACACAGGCACCCTGGTGTAAACATTTTAGATGTCTGGCAGTTTCTTAAAATGTTAAACATATAGAGGTACCTGGGTGGCTCAGTCGGTTGGGCATCCGACTGTTGATTTCAACTCAGGTCTTGATCTCAGGGCTGTGAGTTCAAGCCCTGCATTGGGCTCCACACTGGGCATGATATTAAAAAAAAAAAAAAGTTAAACATGGTTACCACATGAGCACACAATCTCACTTTTAGGTATTTAACCAAAAGAAATGAAAAGAAGTGTCTACAAAAAGACACGTAGAAATGACAAATGTCCATAGCAGCTTTATTCATAATGGGAAAAAATTGCAAACAATTCAAATGGCCATCAACAGGTGAATGGGTAAACAAAACTTGGTAGAGTCATCATGAAATATACCCTACAATAAAAGAGGAAAATTTACTGAAACAACAACATGGATGAATCATAAAATTATGCTGTGCAAAAGCAGCCATACATATTGGGAGTGACTACTATCAGGTATTGGGTTTCTCTTTAGGGTGATGAAAATGTTCTGGAATTGGATATTGGTAATGATTGCACAATACTGTGAATATACTAAAACCTACCTAACTGCACATTTTAAAATGAATTTTATGTTATATGAATTAAATCTCCATTAAAAGAAAGTTGTCATATACACACACATAAATACATATCATATAATGCTGTTTACATCACATTGTAGAACAGTGCTGTCCAAGAGAAATTTCTGTGATGGTAGAAATGTTTAATATCTCTGCTGTCCAAAAGGGTAGTCACTAGACACATGTGGCTACTGAGCATTTGATATGTAACTAGTGCAACTAAAGAACTGAATTTTAAATATAATTTTAATTAATTTAACTTTACAAGGCCACATGTAGCTAATGGCTACAGCACTGGACAGCCCAACTCTAGAAGGCAAATCTATAATAACATAAATTATAATGGTGGGTGCCGGGGTAAGTATAGGACTGACTGTGAAGTAGAACAGGGGAGGTATAACAGAAATATTCTATCTTGACTGTGGTGGTGGTTACACTGATATATATATATATATATATTTGTCAAAACTCAACAAACTGTATGCTGAAAATGGATGCACTTACTGTTTTTTTTTTTTTAAGATTTTATTTATTTATTTGATAGAGAGAGAATGAGAGATAGAGAGCACGGGAGGGAAGATGGTCAGAGGGAGAAGCAGACTCCCCGCTGAGCAGGGAGCCCGATGCGGGACTCGATCCTGGGACTCCAGGATCATGACCTGAGCCGAAGGCAGTTGCTTAACCAACTGAGCCACCCAGGCGCCCGGATGCACTTACTGTTAAAAAAATCCTTCAACCAATAAAGTAACATATTCTTTTAATGGTAAAATAATTAATTTTAGATAAATATCTTTTTTCAAAGACTACAACCTCACTTCCTGCCCTAAAGCTGTAATCTCCTTTAGTTGTAGAAACTCTACAGTGTGCACTATTAAGCCTACTCAAGTGTTCAGAAGTCATAATCCCTTAAAAGAAAAATTATATATAGATGGAAAACAAGGACTCTTTTGAGAAGTTGGACTACTTCTTAACACTTGGACTTTACTCTCATGTCATCTTCTAGAAGACACCATCTTTGATCACAGTATCTAGAGTAGCCCCTCCTTATGACACCATTATTTCCTTCATCACACTTAACCATACTTCATAGTTATCTTGCAATGTTTCTTTCCTTACCTGTTTTGCTACACAGAATTTAAGCTCTACTGGGGCAAATTCTGCTTCTTCAACACTATGTCTCCATGCCTAGTTAGATGTCCCTAGTGGGGACATATTGAATACTTAAAAATGATTTGAATGAATGCAGGAATACAGAGATAATTTCTCAATGGCCCAAATTCTGAATAGCTTTCCCCCTACAGGCTGTCCTCTAAAAAGATACATTATCTTTTTTTTTATTACGTGGGCTCTCATGGCAACAAAAGAATTTAGCCATATCCTACCTTCATTAAACATCACTAGTTTAATACAAGGAGCATGGGCTTCAGAAATGAGAAGATCATTAATGCATCCAGGGGAAGGGAAATGACTTACCGGTAATTTTTTTTTTTTTTTTTTAGTTTTAATTTATTTGAGAAAGAAAGAGAGAACACAAGCAGGAGGAGGGGCAAAGGGAGAGGGAGAAGCAGGCTCCCCACAGAGCAGGGAGCCCGATGTGGGGCTCAATCCCAGCACCCTGGGATCATGACTTGAGCCAAAGGCAGAGGCTCAACTGACTGGGCTACCCAGGTGCCCCCATATTGGTTGTTATTGATGGTAACATTATTGATATAATGGAAGGTCATGGCTTTGGAGGCAAGAAGACCTGTTTCACAACCCAGTTTCAAAAATTACTAGTTATGGGGTGCCTGAGTGGCTCAGTTAGTTAAGCGTCTGCCTTCGGCTCAGGTCATGATCCCAGGGTCCTGGGATCAAGTCCCGCATCGGGCTCCTTGCTCAGCAGGGAGCCTGCTTCTCCCTCTGCCTCTCTCTCTGTCTCTTATGAATAAATAAACAAAATCTTTTAAAAAAAAATTACTAGTTATACCAAGCAGAAAAGCAGCCAGGGGGCCCATTTCATAGTCCTATTTTTTTGTTGTTGTTTTGCATAAAAAGACTTTAGAAAGCCTGGACTATCAGATGGACAACATACTAGAACTGCCTTTGGATCTATGGCCTTATAAAAGAATCTGAGCAGAGTCTGAAAAGTTCCTAAATTAAACATGTATTCAGGTGAAGTGACTAAGTCATCTCTGTGGCCCCTCAGGTTTTCCACAATTCTTGATTCAACCTAAAGTATTACTTGGTATTATTCTTTAAGCCTATTTCACAGAGAAAGAAAGACTCACCAAAACCTATCTTTGTAATCCAAAGGCTTACAAATTAGGTTGTAATAATGGTTATTACTTTAGGAGAGCTAAACCATTATATTAGTACTCTCTTGCTCAAGATGTCTAGATTTTAAAAGATAAATTTACATTTTTTCAGGAATGACTGGGTGGCTCAGTCCATTAAGCGTCTGCCTTCAGCTCAGGTTATGATCCCAGGTTCCCGGATTGAGCCCTGCATCAGGCTTCTTGCTCAGTGGGGAGTCTGCTTGTCCCTCTCCCTCTGCCCCTCCCCCTCCCCCTGCTTGTGGAATGTGTCTCTCTCTCTCTAATAAATAAAATCTTTTTTTTTAAAGATTATTTATTTATTTATTTGAGAGAGAGAGAGCATGAGCTGGGGGAGGGGGAGAGGGAGAGGCAAACTCCCCACTGAGCAAGGAGCCCAACTCGGGGCTCAATCCCAGGACCCTGGGATCATGACCCAAGCTGAAGGCAGACGCTTAACTGACTGAGCCACCCAGGTGTCCCACATCTTTTTTTTTTTTTTTTTAAGATTTTATTCATTTATTTGAGAGACAGACAGAGATAGTGAGGGAAAGCACAATTGGGGAGGAGAGGGAGAAGCAGACTCCCGCTGAGGAGGGAGCCTGACATGGGGCTTGATCCCAGGACTCTGAGACCATGACATGAGCTGAAGGCAGATGTTTAACCGACTGAGCCACCCAGGTGATGCTCAAAAAAATAAAATCTTTTAAAAAAATGTAAATTTTTTCAGTGTTTAAAATCAAAATTATCATTCATATCTTTAAGCTGATCTCCCTTCTGCCTCTCATTCCTATCTTCCAGTGTTTCTCAGAGTATAGATTTTAGATTACTTGCTTAACAATCATCTGATCCACTAATTTAATCTCCAAGTTGTTCATGATCAAGTCCTATGATTCCTTCCCACAGAAATTTCCCAATTCTCTGATCAACAGAACTTAACTTCTTGCATTATTATTTAGTTTTGTTAATCTGTTTCCTGAATTCCTAACAAGTTCCTGAGGGACAGGGCAATTGTGTTTTCTTTCTTTTTTTTTTTTAAAGATTTTATTTATTTATTCATGAAAGACAGAGAGAGAGAGAGAGAGAGAGGCAGGGGGAGAAGCAGGCTCCCAAGGAGCAGGGAGCCCGATGCGGGACTTGATCCCAGGACCCTGGGATCACCACCTGAGCCGAAGGCAGACACTTAACCATCTGAGCCACCCAGGCACCCGCAATTGTGTTTTTTGCCTTCTTATATAGTATAGTACCACATTATGCTGACACTCCCATTCCCTAAATAAATTTTTGTAAAGTTGATTTTCTTTTCTCTAGAATATTGTTCATCACCAAGCTCACAAAATCTTAGTTGAAAATGAAAATACTTACTTGCATCAACTACTGATTTATATTCCAAGAGTTGTTGTTTTGTCTGTGCTCTTAGCCTGAAAGCATAAAGAAAAGAGAGTCTTTTTTTTAAATTAAATAAACTCTAACCCCAACATGGGACTCAAACTCAAAACCCCGAGATCAAGAATTGCATGCTCTACTGACTGAGCCAGGCAGGTGCCCCAGAAAGTCATATATTTATAGAGGTTTTACTCATTACTATATTACCAACTCACCTTTTTCAGAAGTTTATGCAATAAAATGAGTGTAAGTAAACTCAGCAATAAGTCTTCTAGTTTGGCCTGATTTAAAGTGGGTGTAAAGAGAGTTCTAGTTGAAGATGGGGTTGTAGGAAAAACTATGTCCTCCTCCATGGAACACACCAAATTACACCTATTAATTGAACAATTCTTCCTGAAAAACTAAGGGCTGACTGAACAGCTACTGAATAACCAAAAATAGAACAAAAGAGAACAGGAAGAGAGATGGAGACATGCCACAGTTAAAAGAGTAACTAGCATATACAGCCACAGCTCCAGTCAGCCAGCTAAAGTCACCAACCACACACAGTCTGCACAGAGGACACCATACACAAGATCACCCCTTCAAGTTTAGGAGAAGTAGCTCTTTACCTTTCTATAGTAACAAACACAAAAACTCAAGCAAAATGGGGAGACAGAGAAATATGCTCCAAAAGAAAGAACAAGGGGAAAAAAAAAAACACCTCAGAAAAAGAACTAAATGAAACAGAAATAAACAATAAGCCTGAAAAAAAATTTAAAGTAATGGTCAAAATGGCACCTGGTGGCTCAGTTAGTTAAGCGTCTGCCTTCGGCTCAGGTCATGATGCCAGGGTCCTGGGATCGAGCCCCACGTCAGGCTCCCTGCTCAGCAGGAGCCTGCTTCTCCCTCTCCTCCCCGACTGTGATCTCTCTCACTATCTCTCTCAAATAAATAAAATAAATAAAATCTTTAAAAAACAAAAAATAAAGTAATAGTCATAAAGATACTCACTGGGCTGAAGAAAAGAGTGGATGAACTCAGTGATACCTTCAATAACAAGACAGAAGATATTAAAAGAAACCAATCAAGAGGAATTGAAGTTGAAGAATGCAATAACTGAAAAAAAAAACATACTGTAGGAAATCAACAGCAGATTAAAGGATCAGAGGATATATCAGTGATCTAGAAGAGAGGGTAATGGAAAGCATACAAGCAGAAGAGCACAAAGAGAAAAAAAGCTCCAAAAATGTAAATAGATTAAGAAATCTTTTGGACAATATCAAGCAAACATTTACATTATTGGGATTCCAGAAGAAGAGAAAGGTGTAGAAAAGTTATGTGAAGAAATAAGTGAAAACTCTCCTAACCTAGGGAAGGAAATAGATCTCCAAGTCCAAGAAGCACAGAGAGTTCCAAACCAGATGAACCCAAGGAGCTCCAGACCATGGCACACAATAATTAAAATGTCAAAGGTTAAAAATAAAAATAAAGACAGATTTTAAAAGCAGCAAGAGAAAAACAAAAAGTACTTAGAAGGGAAAACATGAAGCTATCAGCTGATTTTCAGCAGAAACTTTGCAGGCCAGGGCAACCCTGTTCACACCTGTGAGCTTTTTCTGTATCCTTGCTTAATAAACTTCTGTTGCTTTACTCACAAGAAAAAAACAAAACTTTGCAGGAGAGAAAGGAGTGGCATTATATATTCAAAGTGCTGAAAGGAAAAACTAACCAAGTACCTGCAAGGTATTCATATTTGAGGAGAGAGTTTCCTAGACAAACAAATGATAAAGAAGTTGATACCGCTAAACCAGTGCTATAAAAGTAAACTGTAGAGAGGTCAGTAAAAAGGGAAGAGAAGGGGGAAAAGATTTTTTCTTTTACTGTTTTTGTTTTGCTTTTTTTAGAATGTGTTTGAACTTAGATGACCAGAAAAGTAATATGGACTGTTATTCATTTGGATATTATATATGAACCTCATGGTAACCACAAACCGAAAACCTATGGGAGATACATAAAAAATAGAAAGAAGCCAAACAAAACACTATATTCACCGGTCACAAAGAAAGAGAGCAAGAGAAGAAAGAGAGCAAGAAAGGTGTTTTGTAGAAGAACTAAGTAACACAACCAGAAAATAAATTTTAAAAATGGCACTAGGTACACACTTATCAATAATTACTTTAAATGTAAATAGCCTAAATACTCCTATCAAAAGACATAGAATAACAGAATGGATAAAAAAACAAGACCCATCTATATGCTGCCTACAATAGACTCACCTCAGACATAAAGACACGTACAGACTGAAAGTGAAGGAATGGGAAAACGGGAAAACATTCACCATGAAAATGGAAGCCCCCCCCCACCAAAAAAAGAAGCCTAGGTAGCAATAGTTATATCAGACAAAGAGACTTTAAAATAAAGACTATAACAAGAGACAAAGAAGGGCATCACATAATGAGAAAGTAATCAATCCAAAAAGAGAATATAACAACTGCAAATATCTATGCATCCAACACTGGAGCACCTAAATACATAAGTCACCATTAACAGACAAAATGAGAGAAACTGATGCTAATATAATAATAGTAGGGGGACTGGGCGCCTGGGTGGCTCAGTTGGTTAAGCGACTGCCTTCGGCTCAGGTCATGATCCTGGAGTCCCGGGATCGAGTCCCACATCGGGCTCCCTGCTCAGCGGGGAGTCTGCTTCTTCCTCTGACCCTCTTCCCTCTTGTGCTCTCTATCTCTCATTCTCTCTCTCTCAAATAAATAAATAAAATCTTAAAAAAAAAAAAAGATACACTTTAAAAAAAAATAATAATAATAATAGTAGGGGGACTTTACAATACACTTACATCAATGGATAGATCATCCTGACAGAAAATCAATACGGAAATAATGTCTTTGAAAGACACATTGGACTAGATGGACATAACAACATACACAGAACATTCCATCCAAAAACAATAGAATAAACATTCTTTTTCAAGTGCATGGGTAACATACTCCACAGTAGATCACATATTAGGTTATAAAACAAGTCTCAATAAATTTAAGAGTCAAATCATATGAAATTTTTTTTTTTTTACTACAATGGTATGAAACTAGAAACAAATCACAAGAAAAAAAAAAAACTGGAGGGGGGCTTGGGTGGCTCACTTTGTTAAGTGACTACCTTTGGCTCAGGTCATGATCCCAGTGTCCTGGGATCAAGCCCCGCATGGGGCTCCCTGCTTAGCAGGAAGCCTGCTTCTCCCTCTCCCACTCCTCCTGCTTGTGTTCCCTCTCTCGCTGTCTCTCTGTCAATTAAATAAATAAAATCTTAAAAAAAATTTTTTTAAGGAAAAAAAACTGGAGAAAATACAAACACATAGACATTAAACAACATGATACTAAACAGCCAATGGGTCAATGAAGCAATCAAAGAAGAAATGAAAAAATAGGGGTACCTGGGTGGCTCAGTCGGCTAAGTGTCTGCCTTCAGCTTAGGTCATGATTCCTGAGTCCCAGGATCAAGACCCGCATTGGGCTCCCTGCTCAGCAGGGAGTCTGCTTCTCCCTCTGCTTGTGCGCTCTCTCTCTCAAATAAATAAATAAAATCTTTAAAAAATATATTAAAATTAAAAATAAAAGGAATAAAAAAATACATGGAGACAAATGAAAATGAAAACACAATGGTCCAAAATCTTTGGGATACAGCAAAAGCAGTTCTAGGAGGGAAGTATAGAGCAATACAGATCTACCTGAAGAAGCAAGAAAAAACTCAAATAAACAATCTAAACTTACACCTAAAAGGAACTACAAAAAGAAGAACAAAATCCAAGGTGAATAGAAGAAAGGAAGTAATACAGATCAAAGCAGAAATAAATGACATACAGACTGAAAAAAGAAAAAAAAGGAAAAAATATCAGTGAAACCAAGAACTGGTTCTTTGAAAAGATAAACAAAATTGATAAACCCTTAGCCAGACTCATCAAGAAAAAAAGAGAAAGGACCCAAATAAATAAAATCAGAATCAAGAGAAGTAACAACTGAAATCAAGAAATACAAAGGATTATAAGAGCATACTATGAAAAATTATATGCCAACAAATTGGACAATCTAACAGAAATAGCTAATTCTTCAAAACACACAATCTTACAAAACTGAACCAGGAATAAATAAAAAAGTCTTAATAGACCAATTACAATAAGAAAACTGAATTGGTAATCAAAAAAACTACCAAAAAGGGATGCCTGGGTTGTGAGTTGGTTAAGTGTCCAACTCTTGGTTCCAGCTCCAGTCCTGATCTCAGGGTTGTGAGATCAAGCCCGATGTCAGGCTCTGCACTCAGCATGGAGTCAGCTTGAGATCCTCTCTCCCTCTGCCCCTCCCACTCATGCTCTCTCTCTTTCTCAAATAAATAAATAAATCTTAAAAAAAAACCTACCAAAAGTTCCAGGACCATATGGATTCACAGATGAATTCTACCAGACATTTAAAGAAGAGTTAATACCTATTCTCAAAGTAGTCAAAAAACAAACAAAACAGAAGAGAAAGGAAAACTTCCAAATACATTCTACGAGGCCACACTACCCAGATACCAAAACCAGACAAAGACACAACAAAAAAAGAAAAATTACAGGCCAATATATCCCTGGTGAATATAGATGCAAAAATCCTCAACAAAATATTAGCAAACTGTATACAACACATTAAAAAAATCATTCACCATGATCACATGGGATTTATTCTAGGGATGCAAGGGTAGGTCAATATTTGTGAATCAATCAACGTCATATACCACACCGACAAAACAAAGGAAAAAATCATATGACCATCTCAATAGAAGCAAAAAAAGCATTTAACAAGATTCAACATTCATTCACAATAAAAACTCTCAACAAAATGGGGTTAGAGGGAATATACCTCAACATAATAAAGGTCTTCTACAAAAAACCCAGAGCTAACATCACACTCAGTGGTGAAAAACTGAGAGCTTTCCCTCTAAGGTCAGTAACAAGACAAGGATGTCCATTCTCACCACCTTTTAAAAAATTAATTAATTAATTAGA